TAATAATAACAACAACAATTGATAACTAATAATCAATAATTAATAATTAATAATTGATAAAAATAATAATTAACAATTAATAATTAATAAATAATAATAATTAATAATTAATAATAAATAATTAATAATTAATGATTAACGATTAATAAATAATAATTAATAATTAATAGTAGCAATTAATAATTAATAATTAATAATTGATAAAAATAATAATTAACAATTAATAATTAATAAATAATAATAATTAATAATTAATAACAAATAATTAATAATTAATGATTAACGATTAATAAATAATAATTAATAATTAATAGTAGCAATTAATAATTAATAATTAATAACTAATGATAATAATAATAAATAATAATAATATTAACAATAATAATAATAATAATAATAATGACAAACTGATGAAGACTGTCTTTCCTTTTTTTCTTCTGTCTTTTTATCTTTTTCCTTTTGTCTTATTTCTTAACTAAATGCTATAAAGTGAGGAAAATGATTAATTAATTAGAACTGTGAGATGAAATGCTATGCAAGCCATTTCGGAAGTAATCCCAAGACAGATAAACTAAATGAAGGATAATCAAAGCTAATCCAGACCAGACGTTTTCGCTTTAGTCCATCTTCAATAGGTTTATATGGTGTTAGCTGACTTTGAAGTTATATAGGCTAGCATAAGCTGAAAAGAACGATGGAACAAAGCAGCAATCTACCACATAACATTCTGGTTGCTGAGAATTTCCCATTTAAATTTTATCATTCTTACAATATATCTAGCACATTAGACTAGTATAAATCAATTTGGAGGGAAGTTTAGGTAAACGAAGTTTTTTTTCTGCATTCCAGTGAAGTGAAACAGAAAATTTTCAAAAGATTTTTTGAAAACTGGAAATTAAATTTCCATAAAGAATGGGTATTTCGAGATATGTTTATGCGAACATTTCTGATTTTTCTATTTTTACAAATTATTGAAAGATGCACATCAGTATTCTTCAATCACGAAAAAAGAAAAACAAAACGTTAACTTCGAAATTATCATTTATAAAATTGCTATATTAATAAAAAAAAGAAGTAACAGCATTACAAGACTGAAATTTCATTAAGGCATATGTATAGTTAAAAATAATGAAAACGGTGACATTTTCAACTATGCGGATATTATTAAAAAATTTTGAGTTCAAGAGAAATGCTTCTTCTTAAATGTTATTTAGAAAATGGTTGATTAAATATGTATAATGCAATTTCAAATCAAAAATTACAAAAAATACGATTCAATTTGAAGCACTGTTTTAAGCCGAAATTAATTCTTTTAAAGCCATAATATCTTGCTTACTTTTTAAATTAATTGATTTAAAGGAAAAGAAACGAACTAATGAACCTAATGCATAAGCAGCAATGCTCAGCACTGGAGCTAAAATTGTTGGTTGGATATTATGCTTTGCGCATAATCGTTCCATCACATTAAGATGTTCTTTCTCCTGTGCTTGCATTTCTTCAATAACAGATCTGAATGAATGCTGACCTGTAAGTGACAGTAAGTGAAAAAAATGGCTATTTGATTACTTTAAATAAGTCGGATTCCATGAAATATTCAAGAGAGTTTCGTAATTCAACTGATTATCGCTTAAAGAAAGGAAAAGGAATAGAAAATCAAGATTAATTTCCAGATAATTTTATAAAATAAATAGAAAAATGAATAACTGATGGGTATTCCTTTCATTCATGTATCCGGCAAAACAGGATCTATTATAAGGCATGGAACTATTATCATCTTCTCTTTGTCACTATTTTCTTTTGATATTTTTCATTATCATTATGCAACTGTTAGAACCGAATATTTTGATTCACTTATTGTTGTGTTGATTTATTCATGAAACGCAAAAACAAAGTGTCACTAGTCTAAAAAAAGAGAACAGAAAGGATAACCACAAAAGTTACCTGATATAACAGCTTTTTGTCCTTCATAAATACGTATTGCTGATAATTCACCAATATGATCAACACGTAAGATTTTTGCTAACAATTCTCTTCTGCTTAATCTATGCATAAAACGTGCTGATATTTTGTACATCGAACTAGAATTTGTTACTAATTTTTTTTTTTTGTTTCTCATGTTTTGAATAAAGCTAATGCTTGACAACAAAATGTTGGCAGATGTAAATCTGCCTAATTTTATTTTCCTCTGCAAAAATAAGTTTCATTGCTTATTATTAATAATGAATAACATCACTCGATTAACTATCAAAATCCCATCCATGGAAGGTTTTTAAATATCCATATTTGAAATACAACCTTGGACATTTGAATTATAATGAAAGTAAATAATTTTTATCACCATTTGACAAGGAACTCTGATCTATTTGTAAACTCATCACAACAATGTGAACAAAGATGAGGCATGAAAGAGAATAAAAAAGGTGTAATGAAAAATAGTTTCATAAATTTATCATGAAGAAGCAATAAACTGTATGCAAATGTATTGACTTTCATTGACTTAATTATCATGATTCCAACGTGACAAGTTTTAACTATTTCTTATAATTTCTATAGCCTGTCACCAATTCAGATGGTTCATTTGCTATTTTTATAACCCAATAAAAAACCATCGAATGGAAACTCCATTATTGCCTTCCTTTTGCCGTTTCAAAATATGACTTGAGAATCGATGTAATTCCTGAAGTCGTAGACAGTTTTTCGGAATTTAGGAAACTTTAGGGTTAGCCGAATTTTTAGTAGGTAATGCTGCCGAAACCGAGAAAAAGAATTATGAGATTTTCTAGACATATTCAAGAATCCGACACTAAATCAATTAATGAAGTATTTGATGAATATCATGAGAATGATCATAACCTTCGCTGTGACTACCATATTCATGTTCATGGGAATGGAAATGAGAATGGGGATGTGATTCTTCGAATTGATTTAATGAACTTGAAGAATGGAACTGCGAAGGTCTATACAGGTCGCATGGTAGGTACTGAATGCGTTTTACATGTTGCTTGCCAACTTGTTACTACATCCTTAATAATCTGAAAGGTTTTTACTTTAAATCCTACCATTTACATACATTTTTTTTTAAAAGTAATTTTGGATCCAAATGAAATACTGAAAATTTAGCAAAACTCCAAGCCAAAAATTGCCGTCCAAGTTTTATTGTCTACAATTTTTAAAGGAATTTTTGTGAATTTTTATTTCCCCCAATTTCCCCACCATATATTATAATAATAACATAAGTTTGTTCTCCCCACGAAGCTCAAAAAAACTTTCAGATTTACCTTATACATATTTGAAGTGAATCTTAACTAGCCGTAAATAATGAAGATTACGTCTTTTTACCTGCACTGTTAATATAGAGATCACAGCAGAAAGCTTTTCGGTTATCAACACTAGCACCAACTGTTCATCAGCATCGCGACGTACTCGAACATCCACTGTACCAGCCATTGTTGTAAAATCTAATTGCCAAAAATGGGCTAGTCGTAATTCGAGAACTCCATCGATTGTCGATGCTTCTGATATGCATCTAAATCAAACATTGGGAAAATTACAAATACATACGTAATATTATCGGTAACAGTGATAAATTCGAAAGCAAAAAAGGATGGTTCCTATTTTGGCAATATTAAAAAGAAAAAAAAATTCCGAAAATCAAGAAGTCAATTTATAAACAAAACATTATGCGAATGACACTATTTTTAGTGTGTTTCAAGATAATGATGTGCATAAATTCTCCGCCCTACTGAAAAGGAACACCCTAATAGTTTACATTACATTTTGCACTGAATATTTTAGTTGTCAGTATTATAATTAAAAATCAACAATTAGTTTATGAAACGCATAAATCTGAAAGACTGAAAATCACACTAATTATTTAATCACTTAATTACCTATCTAATTGGTTGTGAATATGGGATGGAGTGGTTTGCAATAAGATTCGACCAGTATATTTTGACAGTGGCCACATTGTCAGAAAGATACAAATTGAAAGTATCAACGTAGCAGCTGCATCAATCCACCATAAATTCGACACAAACCTTCAAAAAAATGATAACAATAGAATCTAGAATCTGCAGTAGACAAAGATGTTTTAATCGTATTTGACTCCATACCTACGATTTTGACCATAGTAGGAGAAAAAAGAGAAAGTCAAAAGTAAATGAGGCAAAAAAAAAGATGTGGAAATCATTCATTCATTCCAGATACACAATATTTTAAAATACCAAAACAATTTGTAAAATTATGCAGAAACATAGAATGAAATTCCTTACCAATGTGTAATTACACATGCTACGGTTGTTAAAAGAGCCAAAAGTGATAATGCATTCAGTCGGGGCAATAGAAGTACACTAAGACCGGGCAAAATGTAACAAACTGCATGGGAAATATCAGCAAAATGTTCCTGAAAATGACAATATTTGTTAATTCCTAGAAACGAATACTTATTTAATTTTAAACTTAACCTTCTGGACATTTCTTCTTTTACCGTGATGATACCTGCTTTCTTCCTCTGTCTCTACTCCTTTTCCTTCCCCTTCTGAGAGAAAGCCGAGGATTTCCAGTCATCTAAAAGACTGTCTTCACGTTGTCAAAAAAAGTGACAAAACCATAATAACCAAAATTTGAATATCTAATTTTAAAAAAGTTGAGAGACCTTATTTTTTGACTAAAAAAATATCCAAGTAGTACGCAAAAGTGTAAAAAGCATACCTGTAATGAAGAACTACTAGATGCAGTAAGTACATGTTGTATTGGTTGATTTTTGACACCATAAGCGGCAATTTCCAATGAAACGGATGCTGCAATCGCACCAAAAATATACAAGCCATTTGGATGAAGATGGTGATCATTCTCCAAAATATGCTCCATACTTTCTTTAATCAAAAATATAGCTGCTAAACTTGCAAGGACCTGGAGATAACCACACTTTAAAAGAAATAATTAATTGACAACTTCAAAGTTGAAAAGTTCGTATTTTCTATTCCTGTGTTTCTCAACATATCAGTAATTACTTGTGACTGGATCATTCACCAATTTGTTCTTCCAGCCACAATATTATTACTACTGTTATTCATGAAGACTTAAATCAAATATAAAAACATTTCTTAACTTTTCATTATTTATATATACATATGAAATCATTATATACATTACAAGATAACTGATGAAATTGGAAATGAAATTTAAGGCAGCTATATTAATTAGTGTTTTCCAATGTCACAAAAAATACTATCACCTTGAAAAGAAGTATGCCAAACAAACAAAATAAGCACTAACGGTAGTAGCAAAGACGGCAAGAACAGGTGCCCGTGCAAAACCATACGTATAATTGACTGATGGCTTCTGTGTTACTGATAATGAAATAACCGTTGATATTAGTGAGAAGAAGGAAAATACTGAAAGCCATGCAGCTGCTGTGAGTATCAACGATCTGGTAATTGAAACGCTACCAATAAGGAATAATATACATAGGCCACAAACGACAGCAGCAATACAAGCTTGTCGTACGTTTGAATTAGACCATGCTATCACGACCGATACCATAACTAGAAATGCTTTTATAACGTAGAATGTAACGAATCTACATCACCCTTATTCGTATTAAACTACATATTACGTATATAAACTACGTATTAAACTACATACATATAAACTACAAACTACATACATATACATATTAGCACGTGTCAGAAAATCTGACTCTGCTATACTCTTGTTGACTTGAACTTAGTTATAAGATATCCAAACAAACTGTAACAAAAATGATAAGTACTAATTTGAGCAAAGACACTTCTGATTCGAGATTCTTACAATTTTCAACACATAAGCAATAACCTCCTTAACTGAAAATTTCACCGACTTCACACATTTAAATATTTAATGGTAAACCCAGTTTACAGGTAATTCATGACTATGTCTCAGCTTGCTCATTCAATCACAGTATTTCTCGATGACCAGCAGATATGGTCGGACTTGATATTCCTCCAAAATTTTTAAAAAGTTTCTCACTGTCCTTTTTTTTGCTGAAAAAGTGCCAATTATTCAAGAGAGCGTAAATTGATGATCGGTAAATACCATCGAACATATTATTTCCTCTCATTTAATTTTGCATTCAATCCATTCACGTGATATTTGGCAGGCGAACTTACTGCTAATCCCAATATTGCAACTAAATTTGTATACAATCATATTTTTATGCACACTGCCATCAAATTATGAACTCTAACCAAAACGAATAAGAGATAGAGAAAACGACTGGAAAAGAGGGAGCAGAATCTCTGGAGAATGAGAATGATAATTGAAGAACAAGTTAAACTTTGACCCAGTCTCTTCTTCAGTCTTTTCTAAATCTCCAAGAAACATGGAATTACGCTTAAGTGCAAACACAAATAAAAGAAAGTACGTGAGGTAACGACAATATTTACGACTAGCGAATTGTTAAAATGAGATCATCTACTGATGAAAGTTACATAATCACTGATATTAATGATAACAACAATATTTTTATACATCTGCAGCAGCTTAAAGTAAAATACAAGTTGATTTTCACAAATCTATAGAAACCTCTAGAAAACTTCCTAAATGATTTGTGAAATATTTCGAAAAGTTTAAAAGTCGTTATTTGCATGTGTAAGGGAAATATCCGGTGATGCATCACCAAGAATATCTTCGGCACCGAATACCTCGTTGTAAATATCCGGTGAACCAGAAATTACCGAATCACTCGATGTTACATTATTGCTATCAGCAACCATTTCTAGCCATTGTAAATTATGCCAACGAAAGCGCTCAATGTCCATTTTCCGAGCCCATTCTTCACTACGTCCCTGGAAAAGTATCACACATCGATGAACAACGATAATTAAAATTACATCACACTGATACATTTATTTGACATCATTATTTCACTACTGTTTACATATATCGCTTATCAGATTACTTTTATTTCAACTAAATATCTCATTTAATAGAATCGTCTTGTATTACTTATTTCGATTACTTATGAATACTTACAGCAATAATGGAAAGCGCACGATCACATACTGCACGAATAGGTACATTTTTGTCGTGCATTAAATCGATAAGATAAGCACCAATGTGTGCACTTCCACCCATAACACTTTCACTGAGTTCTTCATGCGTTATTATAGCATAAAAAACGTAAGCCACTTGTATAACTATTTCATCATCTTCTTGTTGAGCTAAAATCAAAAAATTCAAACGAGTGGTAGCTCTCAGTGAAAAAAAAAGGATATGTGAGAAAAAACTCAAGTAAAACATGATTATTTCGAAGCTGCAATGATTTTTTCTGAAATCTTCTTATAAATTAAAGTATAACAAGATTAGCAAACAATAAATTATTTTAACTGCTTTCACTGGTGAATAAACTGCCTTCAGATAACAAATATTTAAGGTGATTAAAAGAACAGTACCTGTCAACAATTCGACCAATTCATCTGTAAGCGGTACTATCAAACGAGCCGCATTTAATTGTCGAGCCATTGTTCCACAAAGAATAACCACCTAGAGCAAGAATCATTAATAAAATTTCAATTCCTTTTTACCTTTAAGCGGTCATATATTTCTCATTCTCCTTTTTATGTTGGAAATTTCTATCTGTGAATATCTACCCACCTGTAGCAGTTGATCCGGATGTGACTGAACCATATACTGTCCTTTCAGATTATCCTCAATCCAAGCAATAAGTGAAACTTGCTCAGCTAACGATGCCCAATCAACGCTGGTTAGCTGATTGATAATGCCTAAACATTCTAGGGCAAATAAATCAAGTCCTTTCTCAGTTTTTTTGTTCACCACAATTTCGAGCAGACAGATAGCCCATTTCTGTAAACGATTAGTATAAGGGAAGAAGTCATTATAAAAAGATTCCTTTGAACTATTTGGTCCAGTAATTACTTCTTCCGATTACTAAAAAAAGTTAGAAGATTGAGAAATTTTTCTTGAAGAGTCTTTAAAGATTGAGAAAAACAGAAAAATTCAGCTTTTTTCCCTAATAAGGATAACAATAGTCCTTCTGCATATCAATTATGTAAATTAGTCAATGAGTATTTTAATGCTAATAAATTTTCATTTACCGAAAATAGAGCTTGTGTAGGGCCACTGTGAATTGCAATATTGCGTACTATCTTCAGCAATAATTGATCTCTTCGATTTAAAGCTGCTTCGATTAATAAATTAAGTCCTTCACCATCGGCACCACAAAGTAATTGAGCATTACGCTTCTCCAATGCTATATTGATCAGGATTGCTTTCACTATATTCGAATTATTATTAGTTAACAATATGCGCATTAGCTGTAATATAGAAGGTTGATGAAATATAGGAACTCTAATTAGTAAAAATACAAAATTTGATAAATTGGAAATGCTCATGACCATTATCGTAATTGTTTTTTTTTATACGACGTCATTACTCTGGATTCAACATATTCTGGAAATTCATGTACTCAAGTAAAAGATGTTCAACATATATTGGAATCATCCTTTCCTCAATTTCGACCTAGAAACATTTAATTCCAGATTTATCAGTAGCAACCTTACTTTCCTTTCCCAACAATATTCCATAATGAATGGTCACTAATTTACCTTAGTTATTCGATTGGTAAAATGTTTAATGACTTACATTTTGTAAAACGTCGGTGTAAGTAATCATTGCTTTGGCATCATCATTGATGCTTAATTGATAGAGAAATTTTAAAGCGCTTTCATCTTCGGAAAAATAAAACTATCAAACCAAATGAATGACGTTTAAAACTTCCCAATAATTTATCCACTTACTAATCGGTCAACATATAGTAATTGTTTTGAGGGTTCATTAATTCATTAAACGTCTAACCTCCGCACTCAACATATCCCATATTCTCGATGTTAATATCTCACAAAAATACTACAACATAAATGATAAATTGAATAGGAATTGAATAGCGTTATGTCGTAAAGTTCGAAATCGAAACTCCTAATTGATAATTTATTGTTATTAAAGGAAAAAATTACCGTTAATTAACGGTGCTATGTAAGAAATAAAGCCAGCAGAAACCATTTGATCACGAAGAGATGGTATAAATGACAAATTGAATAACAACTGAATAGCGTTGTGTCGTAGAGTCAAGTTTTTTATAGGAAATAACGCCGATATACTTTCTACGATGCGACCGTTTATCTGCAGCTTTTGTTGAAAAATGACAAATTAAAAGAATTGTAAGAAAAGAAAGATGTGAAAGACGAAAAAGTGACTATATATAGACAACTTAGAGCAATTAGGTTTCGACATAGTACTAAAAATCATTTATTTCCAAACATATTTTTGAATTTTGTCAATACACACATACATACCATGGCCTCCTTATTTTCACTGTAAATGCTTAATTTAAGCAAAAAATTGATGGCAGATATAAGCAACGGTAAAATGGCATCTTGGTTTTGTATACATTTCGAAAGCAATGCAACTATTTGTCGATTCACCATTTTCATCTCAACTTTAATATCCTCAGCCAAATTCAGCAACAAATTTAAACAAGCTGCAAAACAATATCTTAAAACCTTAATACAATTTCAATTTTTATCTCTTAACGAGGTAAACACTTCCCTATATCCTTATACTCCGTTTTAAGAAAATTTTAAAAAAATAACCAGCAGTTAACTGCTGCTGTTTGCAAATTGCGAGGTTAAGACGACGTGTAGTACATTCATCACCGTGACATGCTTCAGTTCTCCATGCTTCCCAACGTTTCAATCCATAATCAACAATTTGCATCGACAGAGAACCAATCTAGTACGAATTTATCACATAACAAAATACTCGTGCATTTTGTGCAGATTTTGTTTAAAATGATACTTTTTATAATGTATGCACAGTGTTTTACATCTTTCGCAAATGAAAATTTTCGGAAACATCCAGAAACAAAAATTTAACGAAAATTCTCGAAGAAATTAAACTCTTTTATGGATGTAGTTGTCTTCGAACATATAACGAAAATTAATGAAAATAAACTTTATTATGCGCCAGAAATTGATGAAAATTTGTATAAATAGAGAAGTTATAAAGCATTGTAATGATATTAGTAGCAAGTTCGAAACTTTTCTTCCAGTTATCTCGTAACACACGTACGAGTGCACCCATCAATACCTCTGCAATGAAATAAGCATTTTAATGATGCTATAAGGTTTACTAAAATAATTAAGTGAAATAAGGTTTATTAAAATAATTAAATAAATGGGATACTTCAATTTTCAAGAAGAAATATGCAAATAAAAGAAACAAGAATTATCGATCCATATTACCATTCTCAATAAGTTGTTGAAGATTTCTGTGATTCTGACTAAGCTCTAGGAACAAAGCTGTAGCTTTTGTCTTTTCCGAAACTTCATCGTAAAGCATTTCGATATAATTCTGAAAGCGTTGGTCATTTTGAGAGTTGGCCGGAACAGATGGAATCTATGCTTGGAGTGATGGATGTGGAAAGGGATAACAGTGAGGTAAAAATTTCTGGAAGAATTATAAGCTTCATTTTTGAAGAATAAAACTAAGCTAATCGAATTAATCAACTAAATAAGCAAAAGCTGATGATTAAAAAAGTAAGGTATGTGAATATATTTTAAAGTCATTACCTTCGATATCTACTTAAAATTTGCCTGGGATTACACAAGAATACATATTGATTGGACTTTCATGAAGCATTTCACCACTAACTTTTATCCAGTTTTAAAAAAAAGTTTCAAATAAAAACACATTCCGGCAAAACTTGTCTAAAATGCATTATTTATCTTCTAAAGATGAATAATGCAAGAAAATAACTTCCTTTTCAATTCCGGTTTCTTGCTCATCTTGTAAGTTTGAACACGACCACAAAGTGCTTGCGACAATATATACCGTGAAATCTCAATGTTTTGGTCAGACAACAGAAAAATAACCTCTATGTTACTCATGCTTGTTCGTGATGTCAACGCAATATTCAGGTCTTTTGTCGATAAATTTATATTACCTAGAACCAGCAGCTATCACCTTTCAATTAGCAATTATTAGTCATTTACAATGGGATCGAAGAAGTAACAAAGAAAATCCCATTGAAATTGGAAAACTACCTCCACTGCCTGAATTGTGTCGCCTTTGTAAATAATACAATATTTGCTCCAATTGATCAATCCTGCATTCTGGTATTATTGGACAAACTTGGAGGATATGTCGAGCAAGAGCTGATGTATCAACTCGTTCATTCAGATCTTTCAACTGAACGCTATAAACAAAAATTGCCAAAATTTTATAAAGTTATAAGGTCATCCAGAATGTGAGGTCAATAAAAGAATCCAAGAAATTCACGAATGCCAAAATACAATAATTAATTAAACAAAAATTGCATTAACGAACATTTTTTTGCAGTGTTTTGATAACGAAGCAAATGATGCACCTTCCAAATTATGCACCACTGTTTCCAGTTCGTATTTAATAATAACCGCTGGACTGTAACTATGCGCATCAAATTCAATATTTTTCACTTTCCTGAAAATCTTTCGCTTTCTATAAATTTCAGAAAATATATTGTAATGATTTTACGAATTCAGTAAAAGTAAATCCTCTGCGAATTTTTAGTTGAAATTTACCTGAAATTTATAAAATTGAAATTTACCTGAAATTTATAAACCATACATTTCCTTTTTATCTTAAAATCATCACAATTTACAAAAATACATCGTTCATGTTTCTTCTCAATATTAAATGACCATTTTGTGGCAGTGTTAATTCAGCACCTCTATTTGTGTTTTAACTTTGTCATTCAGCAATACCATTAAGTTGTAGTCGGTTACTACGCTAGTGTTGGAAAGGAAAAAAAAGAACCTCGGGAAGTGACCACTGTTTCCATCAGTTTGCTCCATAATTCCGATCAGTATAATTCCAGAGGGATATATTGAAAGATATATATCATTTCGTTATGTATGATTGTTGAATGTAACTTATGTCGATGTGTCATATCTGGAAGTCAACAAACTCAAAAAACAAAACCGATCATTTAAAAAGATTGTTATTTAAGCGATAAATAGATCAATGCACGATTCTAGTGGCTGCATGTTTCGTTGCTAAGCAACTACCGATTATTTTCAAATAACTCTGTTATTCGTTTCTGTACATTCTATTTCAATGATTAAAATTATTACACGCCGCAAAATTCGAATTCAAAATTAAGTTCTTCAAAGTTGTCGTCTTCTCGGTACGATCAATGTTTCATTCATACCCCAAGTAAAGATTTTTTTATCTATACACAGGTTAAATTCAATGGAAATCATATAAAACGCTGAACTACCCATATGTATTGCAAGTATCAAAAGTCGGAATTGGCGGAAGTGGAAAACTCAACTAATGAAATGCAACTGAACGGGATTTTCGACAGTAGTACAAGGATTCCGAGCAAGTCAGTAAGACTTCTTCAAGCTAAAATTTTAAAATATAAGAATGTTGAAATTGCTAAAATTCACGTTACTTAGTTTTCAATTTCCAGTAATCAGAACAAAATACTGAAAATTGATGAGATTAAACGAAGAAATACCACACAAATTTCTTTTCGAATTAAAATTTTTTAACTCAAAAAAAAGGAAAGCATATAATCTGGATCATTCAATTTCAAAATTATAGTAAGTCTATAAATAAACACAACGAACTGTTGAAATCAAGTGGGAAAATATTGCATAAATTGAACGAAGTTCGACAGACCAAAGCATATGAAATAATGAAGTACGAAATGATCACACGTATGAATGCTTCAAGTGTTAGTGTTTATCTGCGACAACAACGTTTGAAACCAAATGAAGTACCACCGTCAGGAACGGATGCAATCCTCCAAAATCACTATGATGGAATGGAAAATCATGCTGCTACTATCATTCAACAATTTGTCAGGGAATTCCTCTATTTTTACTTCACTTTTCATTTTCTGAATCGGCCATTTGTCAAAGAGTTTTTGGAGTGTCAACTAGAAGTAATCAGACTAAAAAGACCTGACATAACTAACTTGGTTTAACGCCCAGAACGGAAATCACCTGAACCATCATTTCCGTACTAAATTATTTCTAGTTTCGACGAATTACTCGAAAGAAACAAATCGAACGAACATTTTGCACCTGGAAATGGATCTCATTAACGAAACGAATACAATACATTGAAGCTATAGCGGAACGTATGTCAGATGGTACTGTGTCACGTAGGATCGATCATTCGAAAATCAAAAATAAGGTCAAATTTTGAACATGAAACAGCTGGAAAACAGATCATATTTATTATGCATTAAATAATTTGGAAAACAGATTGGAGTGGTATTACTGAATTCGTTAACCGGATTTAATTTACAGTAGAAATTAGAGAAGCATGCAAAGAGCAACTAAATAGGATTTACATATAATCTCGATGTTGATGAATCCGGAAGATCTTCTAATTGAACAGTTATTTTGAAGAAGTTGGCTCTATTCTCACACTCCTACTTTATTAAATCAGTAATGGACAACAATCCATTACGTCAATTGACCTCAACAAAGATGGCATTATGAAATCTAGAGTTACCAAATTTGATTTTGCTATGCAAATAAAAACATTTCACATATTATTACAGCTTAATGAACGCAAGAAAATGATGTACGCAAATGTTGACAATTACATTCGACGTGAACAATTGATCAAGCGCATTGGAAATGATCTGACGTTACTTAACGGTAAGTATAGTAAATCGAATCACTAATATTATCAAACCACTAAAAATTATGATGCCAAAAAGCTGTTTCGTCCAACATCCCTAAATTTAGAATTACTACTCATTCCAATAAGTGCACTTTCAAACATTTTCATTAAGTAGCACGTCATCACTTCTTTGACACATGATATTTTCTGGGAAAGGCGGACGAAATCGAGATATTTTATAGGTATAACAAGTGTTGACGATTTGATGAAAATTAATTCGAATAATTTTTCCGCTCAGAAAACAATAATGGTTACCAGACGAAACTTTATGTTTTTTGATCACCTAATTCAAGCAAAAATTGATACTGAAAATTCTAATATATGACGGTTTCCTCATCCCATATGCTTCATTGTTAATTAGATTTATACAGCAAATGATTAGCTGTAAGTTTATCAGTAATAATAATAATAATAATAATAATAATAACAGTAATAGCAAAAGTGAAAACGACAATACAATCAATCACTCATGTAATAAAAGATTTCTCGTTCTTTAAAGAAAATGCAAATTCGTTATCGAAACCACGATAAATTAATGAAGAAATGATAAACAAAGAGAGGGAAAAAAAAAACTGAAATCAGATTTGCGTGGAAATAATGACTCTTACTTCTATGATGTGACTTCCTATAAAATAATTGTCATACCTGTCTATCTGTCAAATTCTATAAACGTATTCATTTCAATCGTATATGAGGAGCAAAAGTTTTCCGACACTTTCTAGCCATCATCAAAAAAAAAGAAAAATAATATTCCATTTTGATATTGAAAGAGATCTATCATGAAAATTGCATCTAGAAAAGAATATACTGATAAACACATACAGAATATATAGATCTACCGGCCTCGTACAATTGAATTAAAAAGATTGAGACCACTGACATGTGCATATATATATATATATATATATGTATATATGCAAAAAGGGGAAAAAGATGTGGGATGTGGAAAGTTTTTTTTCCGTTCAAAAGAATCATAGAAAAAGCTGCAATACAAATAAATCGAAAACTTACAAATCTCTTCATGGGAAAAAAACTGGAACTAATCTGATAAAACAAATGATCCGAATACCAAAACTAAACAAGGATGAAAAAACGACAACCAAATAGGTTTGTCAAATGCTACCCACTCATTCATCATTAAACATACAGCAGTTTCATGATCTTTAAAACTCTGAGATCCTACAAAATGACGATAAGTAAAAGATGAAATTTTGTAGTACCTCATAAACAGCTGATGAAATATTACAGGAAGTTGCGAGTCACTATCATGCTAGAATAAATTGCATTCCCATAAATTTGTGCAAAATCCCGAAACAATCTAGAAAACAATCTAAAGAACCCTGAATATTTGCCTTTCTTTCTCCGAATGCATTCGATACATCTATGAACTTTAAACTGAAAATTTCCATACATATCTAAGCAATGCAAACGTATAGTTTTTGAACTTTTCAAATGAACAACTTATGTAAACCGACCCGCTAACTGTGAATTATTTCTTTTATTTTTTGAACTGCATAAAAACGGAAAAACAAACACAAACGAGTGTGGTATTTCGATATACAAACAAAATTAACATGACACAAACGAATGTACAGAGAGAAATACCATCGGGTCAATCGATACAATTTGTATAATGTCGAAGTTATTTCCGAGCTTATCGATTACTGATCGATATTCTGCCCATTCTCTAATTCTTAAATTTATTGCATTTCTAAAACTTTGATATTTCTTTAAAGGACTTAAGACGTAAATTGTTTGCTAATATTCTATTTTTCAATTTCATCGAATCTTTATCTGTTTGTAAGACAAACAAAATTAAATATTCTTGGGAAACTGGAGAGTGTCATCCCAGAATTTTAATCGTCTGCTTCCAGAAGTGCTGCATACTTGTTTTCGGATGAAAATGTAAACGGCTTCGGTTCAATATACTTCGGCATTTCTCTTGTTGCTGCTATCTGTAACAATTATTTTATTGATAATACTACAGTTATTGGTTGCTTTTGAAAAAGAAATGGTTCCGAAACTCAATGTATCCCCTTATGACCTATCTAAATTATCCAACTTCACGATAAAATGTTCGGTGTTTCAACCGTTTCCAATCTAAAAAAGAAATTCATGATTTTAATCTTTTCAAAAGGAAGAAATTTAAAAAAAAGCTTGCAACTATAGAAAGTGTGAGTGTGTGTACCTAAGGATTCAACAAATCCCGTTCACTCCAGAATTTTTTGCTGATATATACAAATCTGGAGGAGACCTGTTTTTTCTTCTCTCTTTTGGAATATTGCTGATCGGAGTGTTGTTGCCATGATTGTTTAACTGCGGTCGCCATTGTGCTCGTTACGAATTCACGCTTTTCTTCTTTTGATATGGATTGTTGCTCCGGTTTTGATCCATTTTCAATTTGTTTCGGACCATTAGATACAACAGGTTGCACACTTGAACCAACATTGTTACCCTCAACTTTCTCCCTATTCACTACAAAATGCTTGTCCTTATTCGATCCTGAACCTCCACTATTCGCGCCACTGCGACGTGAGCCACTTTTTCCTCGACGCACTAAAAGGATATCATCTAGCTGGAAGTGAAATTTTCGTTAGCCTGGTTCTGTATCATATAGTACTATAACTCTTTTCAATGCAGTTAATAGTTCCCGGAATAGTCAGACTCTGTCATTTCTATTCTGAGAAAGTCCATTTTTCTATCATAAAGTTCTGGAGAAAACAACTATGGAAAAATAACATGTGGAAGTTCCTATGATATCGTAAAAATTAAACCTGGAATACTGTGTAGTTTATTAGATGGGAACTGTGTACGGACAGAATCCCGAGAGCGAGTAAATGTTCGATTATAACTGTTCCGTGTTCGCAGTAATGTTGCAGATGTACGCGTTTCAGACATTTTAGGATACTGAAAAAATACATCTTATCCAGAGAAATGTTCCAGAACTTCATATTACAGTTCGAAGACATGAGCGCAATCAGAACTTTCAAGAATGAATACCTTTAAAAGAATGAATACCTGAACACCAGGATATCATAGGGATCAACAGTACAGCAAACATAAAATAACCATAACTTCTCATTTAGAACAGGATTTTTCAGAGATTTTCGAGACGTCATCTTATCATCTTCTTCCTTCTTATTTTTAACTCGAAGATGTAATCGCGTAAATACTCGAATTTTGACAAAGAAATCAAAGCGACTTACGTTTGAAAATGATTGCCGGCGGACTGCTGAAATAGACAGTTGAGGAGGTGAGGGTGGAAGTTGCAGAGCTGATGATGGTAGGGTAGTCACCAGAGTTTCTGTCTGTTCCACTACGCGCCCTTCATTAGTGATTAATTGAGGGGTAACTGAAGCCGTTTCAAGTTTTTCATCACCTTTCACTGATTTATAACTTGCTTCTGGAATAGCTTTCTCGACTGGTGGTGGACAATTTTCACGATCATCATGTAACGAGGATCCAGTTACCACCGAAACTTGCCCATGGATTAATAAAGGAGATGCAGGAACGGAAACAGCACGTTCGCTGCTCTAAAAGACATACTATTTGATATTTTTCATCTGTATAAAAACACAATGTTCGGCAGCAAAATTCTTTCGACTCTGTAAAAAACTAATTCAAAAACTGCGGAGAACAAATACGATTCCCGCTTCGCTAACCTTTCTCGATCGTTGCTCGGCTGCTTTAAAAGCTTCATTTTCCAATCGCAGTCGTTCTTCCACCTAAAAGAATGTGAATAGATTCAAGTTAACTCAAATGGAAATTTAAAACCATAATTCAAATTCGTAGCATTAAAAATCCCAATCTTCATGACTTAAGTTTCCTGATATCCGCTTACTAAAAGATGAAAACTATCAACCTGCTTTTCTTTTTCATAAGTATCTACAGGTTTCGCAAGGCCAAAGATATTGGTTGGCCTAGCAGGCAAATCATCTCCAGTACTATTAAGAGGTTTGGTCCGAGGTTGTAATTGCAGTTTACGTCTTTCATGTTTCTCGGTACCATCTGTAGTACTACTTCTCACGCTTTCCGTTCGAATACGACCAAGACCTCTGAAATAATGATTTTTAATCAGTTTACTGATCTTTTACTCTTATCACTTCATTGGCCAGTTATCTGAACTATATCTTTATACCAAAGATATAACAAGGACGTGGACACAAAAGATGTTATCATAGATTATAAATAAGGCAATCTACCTTTTATCGGCATCATGCTCCATTTCCACATTATGGTGAAAGAAATGATTTTCATTAAGTGGTGATGGTTTAGGAGAAACGCCATATGAATCAGAACCACGATTCTGAAATTTCTAAACTTTAATTTTAGGCATTCGAACTATACGATAAAAAAACGGTGTAAAAAAGACTCAAAATTATAAACGGACCATTAAACGAGGAGAAATTTGATTATTTCCAGGCTTTGGATGACGAAATAGGCGATTGCCATAGTCGTACCTTCGATTATCTGAAGCAAATATTAAATGAAAGCAACTTTAGTTCTCTTTATCACTATATCGAACAGAAAACCAACGTTCTGTAGTGAAGAAAATGGTCTATATCCATGGAAACAATTTTTTCTTCATATAAACTTCATTCACAAATTATACGGATTGTTAATTTCCAAAACAAACCTCGACCGCGATATGAGGAGCAGTGTTGGAGAGGTAATCGGTTAGCACGGCCTTCTGAATTATAAGCATGATACGGTACCGATGTAGGTCCTCGGCGGGGATGAGGCAACGTACTGTAGCCTCCTTCATGACAGCTATCATTATTCCTATAGTGTTCATAAGCATTATTTGGTCCTATATTACCGCTACCAAAAGGTGGTCGAGATTGATGATCTTGAAGAGGTATCTTACTGCTACCAAAAGATGGACGAGATTGATGATCTCGAAGTGACACCCTCAGCGAACGACCTTGTAGTTCCTGAAATTTGCGGAAGAATCAATTAGGTAAAGTCTTCCATCCATTGAAAGGATCGAAAAGGAAGTAAAGAAAAAGCGAAATGATATGTAAGCTTATTTAATAACGCTGCAATCTTGTATAAGGACAGAATTTACTGGATAATTTTTGAAATATGGGAGGAAAATATTTGTTTCGTACTAAAAAAAAAAAAAACAAAATCTACCATGTTATTCAATTTCAGAGCGTTCACAAGAGCTTCTTGGGATGATAACGAAACGATCGCTATGCCGCGTCTAGTAGCTTGACCTTCGGAGCGAATATTTAAAACCTTAAATATTTAGAAAATAATGAGAGACACCTGCCGATGCAAACAGTAAACAACTGCTATGAAAATGAGCCAAAAAAACTGCATCAACTTTACGTGATCCAAATTAATATCTGTGTGTGATCGAACTAAGGCAATTAAGCAGGATCTACTAGAAGCCAACTCTCGATCACCATAAGTCCTACAAGCAGTAGTTTCGCAAAGTAGTACATCGCCAAATACTGGCATGCGAACTGTTGCAGAAACTCAGCGAACTCTTGATTTACCATTGCAGTAACGCAAATTTACTATGTGTAATAAATTTGCTGACTAGCGATGGAAAAACCGTCCTATAGACGTCCTATAACGGCATTGAACCACAGCTCTATGTTTTATCCGGAATGCTCCAACCAACATGCTACCAGTCAAATCATACCATAACTAATTTAGTCTGTCGTGAAAAAATTTACCTTCCCACCAATTGTAAATTTTTAATAATCAATGATTTAAACAATTTCTTTTTCCTTGTAATAAAGCCTGAATTGATATGGAGTTAAATTGTTGGTGACTTACATTGCCTTCACCCCCAAAGAAATAGAAGAGATCGCTGTCAGAGGATTTATAATTAATATTGGCCACTTTAACTTCAAACGGTGGCCTATCCGGCAAATTAGCCAAATCCACATTCCTGGAATGCGTTGCTCGGTCTAAACCTAGCGAGGACGGGCGTATATTCCCGTCGGTATTGTGATATTGATTCCAATCACTTTGCTGTGACGCACTTGCTCGCTGCATTGCATTAGAAATCTGCTTTGCCTCCGAAGATTCCTGAAATGATTGACAGTGGACGAAAAGGAGATGAAAAATCATCAAAAATAAACAGTATTTTCAATCGACAAAAAAAGTACTATGTATGAAAATGAATTCTATGCTACGGTTATTAAAATATCAGATTGTAGATAGTATATACCTGTAAGATGGAAGGCGAATAGGATGTTGTATGAGCATCAGCAGCAGCATCAGCCCAACTTCCAATTCCCTTATGCATATCGAAAATATCCGTCAAACTAAAAGTTTTCTGGTTTTGCCGCTTTTTCGATTTTTGACTTCTGCTTCCGGAGCCAGGACCAGATGCGGAACATAGCGTCCCAACTGAATGGCTACTAGTACCAGTAATTTCCGGAAAAAAATCGGTTTCTTCAGTCATAAGCGATTTAATAGCGGGTGTGGTTGTTAGTACAACATTGTTTTCCATCCTATCCGTCAGAGGTTCTTGTTGCTGCTGATGATGGATTTCCGAGTTACCGCCGTTGATGCAGTTCACCTCAGTAGACATTCACAAAATGCAATCCTGTGGAAATTGTTAGCTTCTAAAAATGCAATTGATAATTTAGAAATTTTAGAGAAGTGAAGAATTTTCAGAATGAAAAACGCAAATGTCAAAAACATAGAAATGCAACGATTAAAACTGCATAAAATATTTGATGAAATGAGAAATCTCCAACGGTTCAAAGAACATGCAAATCTACAGTTTTTTTTTTAAAAAAAATCGTTAATTAGATTTAATCATAAAAAAAGTTCAACTGAACTCCAACATCCATGGGTGGAAATTCATGCACCCACCCCTATATCGAGTAATATGGAAGCCATTCCCTCATATGGCATCCAATGATACATATAATGTTGTGTAATTGTTGATTTTTAAAACGCAAAATCAACAATTGTTTTGCGTCTGAAATTCAGCATAAAATTAGTTGTATTCATCGGAAAGACAAAAACGAAATAGCAACCTGCAACAAACTCCCAGTAAATGGAGAGATTAGAAGCAGTTAAAATGATAATTATAGAAAACATAAGGCTCTCATACCTTAAAAATGCCCTCTGCATTATAATACAGCCAATTACAATGAAACATATACATACATATATATATATATATATATATATATATATATATATATATATATATATATATATATATATATATATATATATATATATAT